CACTCGGGTATATGGTGTTGTTGCTGTAGTAGTGCCTGCCGCGATCGCTGTCGCTGTCACTAGAGTTCTCGTCATCTATTCGACTCATGCCAAAGACAAGCATTGCGCGGGCACCCGACGTAATGGGCGCCACATGCACCGAGCAAGCGTTCCAAAAGGCAAGTACGCAGTCATCGACGGACTCCCACGTCGAGGATCGGTCGTCGTACGAGGCGGTGACGGCGCCACCGACAGCGTCCGACGGAAGCACGTGTACCGTGGTACCAAAGGCCATGGCGTCTTCCTGCACTTGCGTCCACGATGCCGCGTCGCCGACCGTGTCGATCGTGAGCGAGTTAAGCATCCAATCACCCATGTCATACGGGTGGATGCCGCCGCTGACGGTCTTGTACTCGAATAGGACCTCGAGCTCATCGTCGAGGTCAATGATCGTGTGCGACGGAATCACGATCGAGGAGCCCGGAAAAAGAGCACGGAGTGCCGCCACTTGGTGCGGCGGCAAGGGCCAAAGAAGATCTTCGTCAAACCCTTGGACACGAAGGCGGGGTGCAACGGGAGGGTCCATCCGCTTGCTGCAATACGCATGTCTCGCGAGAGTAGACTTTGCGAGGTCGAACATGTGTTGCGACATGTGTGCTGTGGCATATCAGTGATGGTCGTTTGGATCCACCAGCACTCTGGACGCAATCGAGCAACAGTGGCTGAACGCAACACACGACAGCGTGGTGGATGTACTCGGTTCCTGCCGCGTGCTGGTCCGAAACCTCTTGTTGAGAGGATGTGAAACTGATGGTCAATGTCTCTCATCGGTAGCGAAGTGAATGGATGAAGCCGCAGTCAACGAGGTAGTCTGGTGCTCGGGGCAAAAGATGCACGTATGTCGGCCTGTCGAGCCAGTGCGAAGGGCGCGGAACTTGACTGCGCAGCTGGCCACTCTCACAGTTGGCATCGGTCCCATTGACCACGATACAGTGAAGCGGAGGAAGGCGTAGTGCTGCGTTGGTCCGTGGCTAACCTGCTGGAGCACTCTCCAGTGTGAGGTGAGCTTGCTTTGCCTCGACAAGGTACTGTCCACGGGCCTCCCTCCAAAATCGATCCGGATAAAGGTTGGTGATCTTGCACTATACGATCATGGGCAGCCAACATTTCCGCCATTGGAGCAGCGTGGACAAGTCCGCGTCACTGCAGCCATCGATTATCTTTTCATTACCACGAGAAACCACTGTTGGGAGTGTCCTCCAAGCGGATTATTCGCACATCAAGGTCGACGACTACGTGACGCGCTCGTCGTCGCATCGTTGCCGCTTTGGGGACGACGGCACCGTGGGTTCAAGCATTGTCTCTTCTGCAAGAGTCCGTGCCAAACGCGCGGCGGCAACGTGCATCTTTGCAATGATCGTGTCGGCTCGGTTCACGAGGAGCAGCGTCGGTCCAGGCGAGACGCGCGCAATGCAAATGTCGGTTGGAAGCACCGGATACCGGCGCCACGTTGCCAACGCGTCGCGCCGAAACGAGGCCAGTTGCATGTTGCAGCCCATCGTTCGAAAGCTGGTGGGCGACGTCGTTGCAACGAAGCGCGCGAGATTGATGCAGGCCAAGCAGGCGCACATACGACGCTGGTTCTCAGCCTCCGTTTTGGCCGGCAGTGGCATCGAGAGCGACGCGAGGCGGTCGTATAGTAGCGGCAAGCTTTCGTGCGCAATCGCCGACGCGAGGTCGCGGCGACCCGCACCCAGAAAGGTGTCGTGCAGCGGCACGAGGACCTCCATGAGACATGTCATGGGCTCACGATAGGCAGCTTGAAGCGCGGCCACCCACGCCAGCACTGCGACGATTCCTGGCGCGTGGTCGAGGCGAGCAAAGACCGTGGCCGCGGCTTGGAGTTCCCGGAGCACGTCGTAGAGGTCGTCAGCGTCAAAGATCTGGGCGGACGCGGGAAGACTCTTGAACGGAGCACGGATCGTAGCAAGAACCTGTGCACGTTGCGAGAGCGAGAGCGCATCACGGTCCAACGCCGCGATCAGAGATGCCCACATGTGGTTGGGCATCGGGTGAGCCATCGCCTTGACAAACAGCAAGCCAAACATCGGCGAGCCAGCTGTGAGCTGGAGCAGCGGCACAATGCCATAGCGGTAGCTGCGCGACGGAGCGAGAAAGGCGGCGAGCGCAAGGTCCATGTAGGGCTGCAAGGGCAGCACGAGGTTCGCGTCACGGAGCGCGCAGAGCGCACGAGGCAGTCCGTGCTGCAAGTGCGCGTTGGCAGCGACGCTTCGAGCAACGATGCAACTGTCCCCAAAGCTGGCAATGAGCTCGACCACACAACTCGGCACTCGCTGCGCAATGACGTTGCCGACGATGGGATCGGCCGCCTCGAACGCAACGCACGAGGCGACGCGCAGCGCGTCACGCAGAAAGCAGTCCACGCGCCGGAGAGCGTCTTTAGAAGCGCCGCGCCGGGCCACGAGATGCTCGAGTCCGGCTTGCAGGCCCATGGTAGCATGGCGCTGGCGCACCCGCACGCAATTGTCGTCCACGAGACGTGCCAGCAAGTGCATGTAGGCAGCATCAAAGTACGGGTCCGAGGCGTCAATGTGACGCAGCACGCGCGGAAGCACTTGTAGCAAGCCGCAGCGCGTCACCAAGGCGTAAAACCAATCGCTGACGCGGTCTGCGTCGCACCAAAACGCGTTAAAGTCCGTGGCCCACAAAAAGTCCATTGCGAGATCCACGTCGCCACTTGCTACGATATGGTTGCTGAGTGCAGTCCACGCGTCCGGGTGGACTTCCAAGTCGTAGTGGTCGTTGATGCTGTCACGCAGCAGCCCAATCGCCGCGGACGTCAAGACCCGCGCCGTCGCAAAGCCAAGGAGGTCGGAGCTGTCGCCGTTGCGGTACGCCGTCAAGAGCGAGGTCGTCGCTTCAAGGCCGACGAAATACACGCGGTGGGCTTTGGGCCAAAACACCACAGTGATCGTGTCGGGTGCCGGTAGATCGTCGTGCGGCCACTGCAAGAAGCGCAAGAGGCGGTCGCGGGTGCAGGCCGCAATGACGGATGCCGGTACGTGGCACGCGGGATGCAAGATCGCACTGTCAGCATGCAGGAGTGCAACGTCGACGCAATTGGCCGCGATGAGAAAGTCAACAATGGCTTGTGCGTCGCGCGAGAGCTGGCCAAACGACACTGGACCCGAGTGGCGCAGGTGCAGGCCGACCGCGATCCATTGGTGTCGACGTGTTGCTGCCACGGCGTCTTGCAATGCAGTCAACGTCGGGGTTGGGATCGGAGAGTAGTGACACGTTTGCCGAACGTCCGAGTGGGTGCGGTTGCCGAGACTCTCCGAGAGCTTGCACGGCGCGTGCGAGACTTGGTATACGAGCGTCACCCGGGCTCCGGACGTAATCGGTGCAATGTGCACCGAGCATTTTTCGTAAAAGGCGATCGTGTGGTTGGACGTAGGCTGCCACGACGTTGGCGGCTCGTCGTCGTGCGTGACAGTGACGACGCCACCGGTCGCGTCACACGACAGCACATGCACGATAGTGCCAAAGGTCTGTCGGTCCCGCCGCGACGACGGTCGCCACACGTCGGCGACGCCATGCGTGTCGATGGCAATGTAAGCCAAGTGCCACGTCATAGTGCCCCACGGATGGAGGCCGCTAATGACGTCGGATGCGTCGGGCATGGGGTCCACAACTTGGATCGATGACGCCGGAATCACGATCGCGTCACCCGGAAACTTGGCGGCGAGCGCTGCCAGTTGTGCGGCGGGGAGCGGCCACGTAAGGTCGTCGTCCAAGCCGTGGACACGGATGCGTGGCAAAAGGTGCGCCGGGCGATCAGAGACACAGCAGTGCTGTGCGTTGACCGACAACGCGAGTTCGACCATCGTCCGCGACATATTTTGCATGCAAGAAAAGGGGTTCTGCGCCTCAATTTTGCGTCTTGAACTTGTTGCATTGTGTCAAATGGCAAAAGTGATAGGCGATGGGTGAGTGAAGGTCCAACTACGAGCCAATGATTTTGAGGTTTGGAGCCCATGTTGACATTTTTCGCGCTACGTAGACACGTCCACATGGTACGATGTCGCCGCACTGGTGCCAAGACGACGTTGTCTACTTGATGCTGAATCGTAGTAGTATTTAGGATTCTCCACAGTCCAGCTCGAGCCGTGGAGCCGACGGTTCGGTCGATTTTGCTCCGGTTTTGGCTTCATTTTCATGCCGGCTCGTAACCGAGCCAAACCAAGCCGAAACGTGGAGAGTCCTAGTAGAATCCAATATCTAGAAGTATTCAGAGTCTCTGCAACCATCCATGTGGCAATCATGATTGCGTGCGTTCTTCTCAGCCGCTTGCACGGGATTGCTCCAGAGTGCTGGTGGATGCAAACGACCATCACTAAGATTGCACTTTGTTGGACCGTTACAAAGTAGTGCGCTGAGGACCGCACATTTGATCCATTGCAAAGTGACACGCCACAGCACACATGTCGGAACACATGGTCGACGTCGCCATGCATGCTCTCGCGAGGCACGCGTGTAGCACCAAGCGACTGGAGCCCGTCGCACCTCGCTTCCGCATCCAAGGATTCGACGAAGAGCTCCTTTGGCCCTTGCCGCCGCACCAAGTGGCGGCACTCCGTGCTCTTTTTCCAGGCACCTCGAGCGTGATTCCGCAGCACAAGATCATTGACCTCGACGACGAGCTCGCATACCGCTCCGAGTACAAGGCCGTCCGCTGTGGCATCAACCCGTGGCACAATGCGACTCATTTTATCGACTCGCTCACGATCGACACGGTCGGCGACGCGGCATCGTGGACGCAAGTGCAGGAAGACGCCATGGCCTTTGGTACCACGGTACACGTGCTTCCGTCGGATGCTGTCGGTGGCGCCGTCACCGTCTCGTACGACGACCGATCGTCGACGTGGGAGTCGGTCGATGACTGCGTACTTGGCTTTTGGAACGCTTGCTCGGTGCATGTGGCGCCCATTACGTCGGGTGTCCGCGCAATGCTTGTCTTCCGCATGCGTCGAGAGGACGACGAGAACAGCAGTGACAGCGACAGCGATCGCGGCCGCTACAGCGATGTGGAGCGTTGTGCTTTTGATGACGACAGCGACTACGGCGACGTCGCCTCCAACGCCGAGACGTCCGCGGCCACGGACCCGGAATGTATCGCAACGCACGCGCAGATGCTCGATGCCGTGGCCGCTGTGGCCGACTACACGCGCATCGCTGTCGGCATGCGCGTGTACCACCGAGGCGCACTCTCGTCAATGGACGACCTCTCGGACAACATCGGCGACGCGATCACATTTCTAGTATCCACCAACGTCCTCGACGTCGCGGTCTTTTCGTCGGGATCCTCCGACGCAGTGCTCTTCGACCCTCGGTGCCACGTACCAGCGTCGGTCGTCGCGGCCTGCACCCGCGACAGCCTGCAGAACTTTTTGGCCCGCGACGACGCCCTTGTGAATGACGCCACCATGATCGATGTGGTGTTTTGGCCCAAGACGCACCGCGTGTACTTTCTCGGGTTCGAAGCCGCGACCTCGCTTCTGTCGTCGTACGTCGCCGGAGGCAGCACCGACTTGCTCGGGTTCAAGACACTGCGCGAGATGGCGTCGGCGACGATCAGCATGCTCGGCGAGGAGTTGTGTCCACAGCTCCACGTGCCATTCGACACGTGGGCGTCGCTCGGCGCGTGCCTCCTAGAGTATGGAGATATGGATCTGGCCATGGACTTGCTCTCGAAAACGACCGAGTCTCGCTTCTGGGCCACGCCCGCGATCGTCTGCGATTGGTTCCGTGCGCTCGTGACGCGCTACGGGTGGCATGTGGTACTTCCGCCCTATCTGAACCTCATCGAGCGCGCGTGCCGCAGCACCGACGCCATGCACATGCACTTGATGGCGAGTCTCGTCGAGGACAACAAGCTCTGCGTGCAACAGCGCCACGCGACCGAGCTACTCGACGCCGTACTTTGTTTGCTTTTGAAGCGCCAGCGCTCGGCTGGACAACTTTCGCACATCGACCGCTTTGTGAACGACGCACTGCGCGTGTCCTTGTGCTTGGTCGACGAGTCCACGGACCCGCTCGTCGGTGGGATCGTGGCGACGCGCCTTCCGCCCCCAATTTTGGCGCTTGTCGAGAGCTTTTTGCCGCCGCGGTGGACACTCGTGCGTGCGTTGACGTGCGACACCCGGCTGCAGAGTTCTCTTCCAGCGGCTCTCTTGCTGCTCCGGCCGTCGGGCCTCGCGCTGCAGCCGTACATCGACCTTGCCATCCACCTGTACGAAGTGTCGACTGGCGGCGTCGATTATGATGGGTATGTAGCGCTGCTGCAGCTCACACATGGGACTTCGAGTTTTGACGTTATCTTTGACAAAGCGCTGACGGAGGGCATGCGCCCTCATTTTTGGTCGGACCTTCTTGCGACGCCAGGTCTGCAGCTCGCCCCGCCGCAGACGGCGCGGCTCGTGGCGGCGACCATGCACCGGTTTCGCGGCACCAACTTTGCAGAAATCCCCGATAGAGACGACCTGTCGGGTATCACCAGTGCGGCACAAGACGGTGCCCGGCTCTTTGCTGCATTGGATGACGCGCCGGGACTGGCGCGGCTGCTCGAGTACGCGTACGCACTGGAAGCCGCCCACGAAGCCCCCATCACGTTCATCATGGACTTTTTTGTGCCGTTGCACGACACGTGCGTCGAGAGCCAACGCCTCGAGGTCGCGGCAGCGCTTGCCGCGCACGGCTTGCCGCGATTGAGTGAGCGCCTCGCCGACCTGGCGGCATCGAAAGGGACAACGAGACGTCAACGGTGGAATTGGTGTCGGCGCCACTGTGATCATATCGGGCATTTCGCTGAGGGAGAGCACCCGTCCACGTTCGAGCTCGACGCGTCCCGCTACTGCACCAAGAAAGCCATAAAAAAGAGCTATGTCCCGCTACGGCGGTATCCCGAACACATTCGCGATGTTTGCATCGAGGCCTACAGCGAGAATGCGGACGTGTACACGCTCATCAACCACCCATACGAGCTCGTGCAGAAGATGCAAGACGCTGCCAACCGCCTCCAAGCGAGTCTCGACGCCGGTCGCCAAGGGTCCGCCAAGCGAATGCCGCTGGATGCTGGCTCGTCGCCCAAGTGCGAATAATGCGTCGAGTTATTAGCTTGCATTGACCCTTCCAGCATAACAACACTCATCAAGTTGCAGATGTCACATCCTCCAGTCCTCCTCCAAAAATGAGAGAGTTCGGTGAAACATGCAAAAACCCTTAATCGATTAATGGGCTCGAGTTCGGTCGGTTTGGCCACCCAGTCGCCTCTTGCGCATTCCAATTAATCGAACAATCGAGCGAGAGACCGTGGATTTCGATGCATATTCTTTGTCGTGGCTGGCCGGGCCGACGTCAAAATTCAATTTTCATGTAAGACTACGGTCCCACGCATCAGTCTGATTTCAGCTCAGACGACGCCCGCCTGTTTGCGTGTCGTCACTACAGACCACGCGATCTCCTGCAAGACAGGCCAGACTATCCTGCCAACACCAGAATCCATTTCGCAATCTTCATGCGTGTGGTCTGCGTTCTGCTCGCGCTGCTTCTGGCGCTTGTCGCCGCCGTTGAAAAAATGCCGGGTGGTATACAGCTAAATTTGACAACGATGAGAAACTCACTCTGGTGTGCAGAGTACGAGCCCATCAACGGACCGACGCCCCTCATCATAACGATGGGCGACTCGATCACGGAGCTTGGCGCCAACCCGAGCTTGATGGGGTACCAAGTTATGCTCACCAACACGTACCAGCGCAAGGCCGACGTGGTGAACCGGGGCATGTCGGGTCGCACGACGCGGTACGGTCACACTGAATGTCATGGTGTCGTCTCATTTGGGGTGCGCTGCAGGTGGTGGTTGAGCCAGCTGCCGCGAGTGCTGAAGGATTGGGAGCACAAGCACCCGTCGCTCATCTCGATCTACCTCGGCGTTAATGACGCCTCGCTCATCAACGGCGTGGACGCAGCACTGCACGTGCCGCTTGACGAGTTTACGACAAACCTCCGTTTGATGCTTGCGTCCTTCAACGAGGCGTTTCCCAACTGCAAGATTCTTCTCCTCACGGCCAGCGCTGTCGACGAGAGAACGGGGTGGAGCGCCGGTCGATCGAATGCCGAAGCTTCCAGATACGCAAATGCGACGATCCGACTGGCACGTACCTTGCGACTGCCAGTCATCGATCTCTTTACGCCGACCTTCAACGACCTTTCTCTGTTCTACGACGGACTGCACCTCAACAGCCGCGGCTACGTCTTGCTGCACGGCCTTTTCATCACTACCGTGCGCTCGTATTATCCCGACTTGGCACCTGAGAACATGGGCTGGGCCTTCTGAGCGCCATTACTCGATGAATACTACTCACTATGCGAGTACTTTCGTTCGTACCATCGTGATGCCATTCATATTTTCGAGTTGAGAATACGAGAAAATGCACAACCGCGGGAAGAAGAGCCAATAGTCATATGGCCAACAGTACTTCAATTCATTATACACTAGCATAGAAATAACGGGTATAACCTGCGACCCTTTGCACGTGCGAGGTTGTATTCCACTCAATGTTCGCTTTGCGGCAGCATTGCTCGAGTGCTTGCTGGATGTGCCACGTGGTTTTTCCGGAAATTCCTAATTTCTGGCCAATCACAGCTCTTTCATTATCCGGAAGATATGCTGGCTGCTGGTGTCAGCTCGTTGTGCCATGGGTACTACCGTACTGCAACGCCCGTCTTGAAAAGGCTGCCAACGATCGCGCGGTGTTCTGATTTCGGGCTCAGATGAACGCACGTCGTTCACCTGTATCCTACGTGCTGAGATGACGAGCATAGCAGTACGAAGGGCTGCAAGTCCATGGAAAATAGCATGCTCATAGTTGAATTCACCGCCTCCATGCGCTTTCGTTGCTTCCTTCTCGCGCTTCTTTTGGCGCTTGTCGCCGCCGTGGAAAAAATGCCTGGCGGTAGGAATTGCTCTTCTATTTATCGACAATTCTCACGCACCGAGTAGAGTACGAGCCCATCAACGGCCCGACGCCGCTCATCATAACGATGGGCGACTCGATTACCGAGGTCGGCGCCAACCCGGCCTTGATGGGGTACCAAGTCATGCTCACCAACACGTACCAACGCAAAGCCGACGTGGTGAACCGGGGCATGTCGGCGCGAACGACCCGGTACGTTCTTCCGCCAAGAAATCTCGAGCAGTCATATGTGTGTTGTAGATGGTGGCTGAGCCAGCTGCCGCGAGTGTTGAAGGACTGGGAAAATAAGCACCCGTCGCTCATTTCGATCTACCTCGGTGTCAACGACGCGTCGCTCATCAATGGCACGGACGCGGCGCTGCATGTCCCGCTCGACGAGTTCAAGGCGAACCTCAATGCCATGGTGGGCTCCTTCAGTCAGGCATTTCCCAACTGCAAGATCCTTCTCATTACACCCAGTGCCGTCGACGAAAGCACGGCGTGGAGTGTCGGGCGGTCGAACGCGGAAGCCTCCAAGTACGCCAAGATGACGAAGCGCATGGGTGGCTTCTTGGAGCTGCCGGTCGTCGACGCCTTTACGCCAACGTACAACGATCTCACACTCTTCTACGACGGACTGCACCTCAACGCCCGCGGCAACATCCTGCTGCACGGCCTCATTCTCGATACGATCCGCAAGAACTTCCCGGACTTGAACCCCGACACGATGGGCTGGGCCTTCTAAGTGCGATGTCATGAGCTCGTATACGCAAAGTATTTGGTCACCTGCGCACTAAGCTTAGTTGTTGACGCCGAGTCGTTGGCTCTAGTAGCAGCTCACACACACTACCGATATTTGCTGAAGACATTGGTTTGCTGATTGTGTCGACCGCCATGCACTGGAATAAACAGCGGTTTCATGACCACTGTTTGTGACATGTCGCAGCCAGTGGATCAGGTGCGCGGTTGTTTGATCGTGGGAACGTGTGCAGCACGCAACCTCGCGTATCTTCGCCGCCAAGGCCGACCCAATTGGCGATGGGCGATCGCGACACGAAGGAGCCGCCAACGACCGTCGAGAAATATGCAAGGATCTCGACGCCAACACCCGTCATTCTCATGCTCGGCGACTCGATCACCGAGCTTGGCGCGGACCCCAACTTGCTCGGGTACCAAGTGCTCTTGACGCACGCGTACCAGCGCAAGGCCGACGTGGTGAACCGCGGCATGTCGGCTCGGACAACTCGGTACCAAATGGTATCACAAAGTTATATATCGTTGGACAAACGCGAATAGATGGTGGGTAGCGCAGCTGCCACGTGTCGTTGCCGACTGGGAGCACAAGCACCCGTCGCTCATCTCGATCTTCCTCGGTGTCAACGACGCATCGGTCCCGGGAAATACACCGCTGCACGTGCCGCTCAACGAGTTTGAAGCCAATGTGCATTCGCTCCTAAATGGCTTTTCCGCTGCATTTCCCGCCTGCGCGTTTGTCCTCGTGACGCCAAGTGCCGTCGACGAGCGGTCGCCGTGGGGCACCCTCTGGAAGAATGACCGTGCGGCAACGTATGCTGCGTCCGTGCTTGCGCTCGGTATCGCGCGGCGCGTGCCCGTCGTCGACCTCTACACGCCCACAGAAGCGAATTTGAACCTATTCTTTGACGGGCTGCATTTGGGAAAAGAGGGGAATGTGCTCTTGCATCAACTTTGGCTAAACGCGGTGCGATCCCATTTGCCCCACTTGGCACCCGAAAACCTGAAGTGGGCGTTTTAATCATACATTAATGAGTTTTGTACATGGTCTTCCGCACTCTAGATCCTGCGCATGTCCAATTTGTCCGACACAGAGGGCAACGGCTTGACAGAAGGATTGTCGCTGCCTGCAACGCGTCGCCGCATACGCAAGGCAACTTTGTGCCCGAGAGAGAAGCGCTTGGATACTTGGATAGTACTGGTCAAGTATCGTATTGGATCATTGGATAGACTCGTACTACGATTCCAAGGCATTTTGCTGGACCATGTCGGAAACTATCGAGATATCAAGCCGGGCGTGACACCCGGAGCCGTATATGGCTTGCAACGCAACTCAAGTTGTTTATAGGGAGTTTCCATTTTGAACCAATCACAGGCGGCAATACTCAGAACGGCCAGCACCGATGCAAGTGGTCTGGAGCCATGTCGTGGCCGACGTCGTGCGTGAGCATGCGGGCGCCGGCCTCACCAAGGTCGCGTATGGCGATGCAAATATGACGACGACGACGTGGGTGCCCTCGCACCGCGCGCCCAGGGTCCTCGACTCGTCGCCTCTCGCTGACGCGCCGGGTGTCACCGTGCACACGACTGCCTCGCCCATCATCGGGCGCGTCCTCGCGGCGGCAGCGCCCATGGCAGCCGGCGACATTGCGTTCTCGGCCCATGCGTTTGTGTCCGTGCTCTCGACACCGCACCTGCTCACGCACTGCCACGCCTGCTTTGCCAAGCTCCGCGGCCGCGCCGTGCAGTGCGCGAGCTGTGAGCGGGCACGCTACTGCGACCGGACCTGCATGCAAGACCACTTGCTTCTGCACGACGCCCAGTGCGCAGCTCTGCAGGCGCTACCGACCGTCGACAACGATCTCGTCCGGCTCGCGCTGAGCTGCCTCATCATGGAGCTCGCGACCAACAACGCGTCCGTGTTGGCCACGCTCGTCGTCCATGCCGTGCCATCCAAGGAGCGCCAGCGCTACGAGCGGTACGCCAAGTTGCTGCTGTCGCACTTGCCGTCTCTCGATCGCCCGGTATCGACAACTTGTTCTTATGCATCCGGGTACTACTAGCGGTTGCTCTAGCGCTGGCTGACACCCCAGCACGTGCTTGATGTGCTTCTCGCCGTGCGCTTCAACGCCCACCCGATCGTCACCGATCTCCATAGCTCAGCATTAGGCCTGGGTCTGTTCCCAGACGCGGCCAAGGTGCGTCTCGACGGCCAACGACTGATACCAAAACCACTGCCCTGTAGATGATCAACCATGCGTGTCGACCAACGACGTATCCGCGTTTCAACACGGCGACACGAGCCCTCGAGTTTCGAGCGCTGCAGTCCATGGCACCAGGTACACGCCAGCATGTTGTGTCGAAGCGGACGCATGGACTCTTATTAGGAGCACTCCTCACGTATTCGTACCTGGACGTCTTTGGGTTTTGCCTTCTCGAGCCGCGACAGGCGCGTCAGCAGCTGTTAGCGACAACTTTTGGCTTTGACTGCGTCTGCGGCCGCTGCACGAGTGACGACGTCCTCTCGCATGACGACAGCGCGTCCTTGACGCCGTGTGATAAGCTCCTCGCTGAGCTCGACGATGCCATGGCGCGCCAGGCCTGGACGACTGTGGTCGGTGTCGCCTCCCGGCTGCTGGTCGAGTGGACCGAGAGAGGGCTGCCCGACGCCTACCCGCTCGTGTACCTACTCCAGACCAAGCTCGCAACTGCACACATGCACTTGGGTGCAGCCCCTTTGGCTGCGAGCGCGACCGCTGCTGCCACCGCCGCAGCGACGGCCTGCGGGTTTGAACCCGCGCCGTAAGAGCGTCGGTACAAAATGGTCTTTCAGAAACAACACAGCTTGTAAGAGATATGCATTATACAAACAAGTTAGACGCAGGTAAGACCGAGATCGAGACGGGTCTGGAGCCGGTTTTGGTACAGTGCGAGCACGGGCAGGCCATGCGCGTGAAGAGCATAAGCCACGAGCAAGTAGAGAAGGCCCATGCCATAGCTCAAGTGGTCGAGACCCCCGACAATGAGACGACGCCAAACCGCGCGCGCAAACAGCTCGGCAAAGACCCAGCCGTAGCAAATCGAAAGCAGGAGCCAGAGCGTGCTAAAGCTGGCGTGGGCGCGGAGCGGCTGGTGCATTACGGCGATCGCAACAACCCAGACGAGCCCGGCGAGCGTGAGGGCGAGGAGGCCGAGGAGTGCCCCTACCGAGAGCAAGTGGGGCGAGTCGCACTCCCACGTCAAGTAGCGCGCCGTGTCGTGCGTGCCAAGGCCTGACATGGAGACCTCAGAGAATTGTCGTCGGCGCGAGATGACAAACATACCTGTGATCTGCGCCATGACTGTTGTCGCCGCGGACGCGTTGGCGCCAAAGCTGGCGCACACGCTGCCAGGCTCGTAGACGCGATGACTGCTGGGCGGCAGCAGCGCTGCGTGCAAGCGGTAGCACACGTTGGTCGTCGACGCATTCGGGTACAACGCGGTTGTGCAGAGCTCGAGAAGGCCGTAGCGCGCCGAGACGTGCGCGCCGCTCGCCTCGACGGCCGACGAGACGAACCAGAGAGGCGCGATCGCAACGAGGAGGAGCGCGCCAAACGCCATGACGAGCAAGCCCGCGCCGCGCACGAGGTCCGCGTCGTCCAGCATACAATCCGCTTACCGAGGGTTTCTCTCCGGATAACGACTTGCACAGCGCGGCTTGCTACTTTTCGCTGGACACAGAAATCGCGATGAGCACCATCGTGGCACATTGCTTTAGGAACAGCGTTGGTCGATCGAGTAGGCTGGCGCAATGGTCAATGACTTGAACGATCACAAAAATGGACGGCGGAGCGTCAAGTTGAAGTGGACCAGATGAAACCGTCAGTCTACACGTTGCGAGAAAGTGCAATCTCACTGCCGCGACAACAACTGCCGTAGGATTACGTTTCCTTGGGTGCGGCACGTCTCGCTTCTGATGCCCATCAGGTCGTCGTCTCGACTGTCAAGCTTCCGAGTCAGATCGCGTCTGAGTTGCGCCGACACTGCTGGGCCTCTGTCCGCGGCCCACTGCTGTGCCGTTGTCCCACCATGATACGTACGTACTGCTCGACAACGAAATGAAGAAAGAAGAGAAAAACACAGTGGATTATGGATGCACCCACTCGACGCGCATTGGAATTGTACCCAAGGCATACATACAATCGTGTCAGCAAGGCTTTACGCGCGCTGCTGCGTGAACGAGTCGCGGGCGTTCATCTGGTTGGACGACCGGTCGATGAGCGCTTCCTTGTCTGCGCCGAGCTCGCCGGCCGCGTGCGGGCTGGTTTCGATCGAGTGCATGCCAAACTGCATCTTGCGCATGACGAGCGTGAAGAGGATGACGTTGAGAAGCGCGACGGCACCGACCGTAAAGAACATCTTCTCGAGCTTGCTCTCGTTGAGGTCGTCCTTGATGTCCTTCTGGAAGAGGAGCGTAAAGATGGACGTGACACTCGAGCCCATCGAGACCATGAAGAGGTTGATGGCCTGGCACGTCGACTTGAGGTAGACCGGGACTTCCGAGTAAAAGACGTCGAACGCGGTGACGTTGATGAGGCACTCGCAGAGCGCGACGAGCACGTAGTGGAAAATGTTCCAGCCCCACGGCAACTTGTTCATCGGCTGCTTCCCACCCTTGTCAAGGACAAAGTCGAGCGTCGCGTTGGTAGCGCTCACCGGCACCTGGAGTACGCCCGAGTTCTTGCGGACGACCTCAAAGACACCAACGTAAAACATGGTGAACGCCGCAATCGCGAGGCCCGCAAACACCTTGCCAAAGGGCGAGGCCGCCTTGCCAAAGCGCTTCTTGTACGCCGGGTAAATGACCGCGTCGAGGAGCGGGATCAGAATCACAATCGCGATCGGGTCAAACACACCGAGGACCGCACCCGGGAGCTGCGTCGCGTCGTACGCGTCACCGAAGCGAAGGTCGGTCTGCTGCGCAATCATCTGAAAATTGGCGTCGATCTGGTCGTAGACGCACTGCCACACGACGTTGAACGCCGCGAACGGAAGCACGCGCACGACCAGCTTGATCTCGTCGATCGAGGTCGCATCGACGCGGCCGCCGTTGGCCACGCTCGCCTGCTCCATGTTCTGAAAGTTCATGCCCGCGAGCACCCACGAGACGCAGCCGCCAAACGCCACGGCACCCGCAGCGTACGACATGCCGAGACGCTCGTTCGAGCCGTCCTTGAGGAACACCGCAATCAAGTTCAAGACCCACGACAGCAAAAAGAGGAGGAAGCCGCCGCAGGCCATGCGAGCGGACGTCGACTGGGCCGTGGCTTGGCGGAGCACGCGCACCAGCTTGGACATGGCGTCCGAGTTGGGCGGGAACTTGACGTACCGGCTGCTGCCGATGAAGAGCATGATCAGCGCCACGCCCATGACACTGGCGCAGATGACAAACGTCGCAAAGTACCCATAGTCTTCCGAGATGGACGCCGAGCCTTCGACGCACAAGGTCGCGAGGTACCCGTACGAGAACGCAGCGCCAAAGTTGATGCACCAGTAAAAGTACGAGAAGAACGTGACCTTCTGGGCCTCTTCCTTCGGGTCGTTCGGGTTGAACTGATCGGCGCCGAGCGTAATGACGTTCGACTTGATCGCGCCAGTGCCAATGCCAATGCACGCGAAGAGCGCAAACACAAAGAGGCCTTCGGCCGTCTTGGTGTCAGCGCCTTCCTTGTCAAACACACCGGTCACGTTGGTCTCCTTCCAGCCCAGCACTTTGGGGTGCGCGGCGATCGAGATCAAGATGTCGCCGATAAAGTAGACAGTGCCAAAGATCGCGATCGTCTTGAAGCGGCCCCAGCGCTCGTCGGCGAGGTATGCACCGAGGAGCGGCGAGAGATAGCAGAGCGACGTCCATGTACTCTTGATCGAGCTGGCCGAGACACTGGTCCAGCCAAGGATCGTCTTCATAAAGTTACGCAGACCTTGGTTAATGCCATAGTACGAGAGACGCTCGGCGAGCTCCATCATCAAGATGAAGCCGCACACTTGGAAGAGGACGCTCGAGTACTTGACGGCCCGCGAGTCCCACACGGACGCGTACGCGCCCGTCGTCGGCGTTGTCACTTCGCCCATGGTTTGACTTGCTCGAGAGACTGCAAAACCAGAAATGAGTGCTGTGGTCAAACGGCAACCAGATCTCGCGGCTGATAAGCGCCTCACCCACTCCAACCCGTCTGGCAGACCGCCCGAAGATCGAAGTTGCTAATCAATATCTATAGAATTAAACGACTTGGGGTTTGTATGTGTTACATAACGCCATCAATAAAATGAAGCGTGCGGCTGATCAGATTGGTGACGGGCGCAAAGTTGAAGCGGCCGCAGCATCAAGAATGGCCCGTCTGTGGCGGGCGGCCAAGCACGGACGGCGCCTTCTGCAGCTACTTTTGCCGTGGGACAGCAAGGCCATCAAGTTGCCGCTAGGCCTGCGTGCTACGCCCCTGGCGTACGTCGTGCACCACTCGAAGAGCACCGTTTTGGCGCCAGGTCCGAGCTTCTTACCGCTCCCTCGAGCCTTGTTGTAGACACGATCATTCCGTGGCTTACAAATGACCACGAGGCCGCTCCTGTTCTTGTTGTGTACACCGTATGATCCACTTGAAGCGTGCTGTCCAAATTAGGGTACGAGAATTGGGTCCAAATTGTACGTAGGCGTTATGACCGCCACGTTGCCACAGTATTCGGCTGAAGAACCTGAGTAAACGGTGCTCTAACGGCTCTGAATGAAGCTTTTGACAGTACTAGAAATGCATGATTGCGGCAGCGCTTGCCTTGTCCCCTAATGAGCTTGGGAGCGGCGTTGTACTCCAATTGTACTCCAAGGGACGTGGAGCTGCGAAAAACCACGATGGATTGACTAAGCCCGCCAGCAGGTTCTCAGATGGCTTGGATGACTTGGAACCAAGACACGGTCCTCCTCGCTGAACCAGCCGCGTCGATCGTAGCGACGTGTACCTGCATTGGTGCAGTCCACGCAAGCAGGGTTAGCCATCGAGTTAGTGAAACCAATATCGCAAAGATCACAGCGTTTCATACAGTACTTCTGTACCAAAACCGTGACCCGGTAACGGTGAGGACACCACCGGAGCCGTTTTGAAAATTCGGCCTGTAAAAGACGATTCAACAAGTCGAGTGTAGAAAGGTGCAAAGATCCAGCGCCGAACAAAAGCACGAGGCAGCTGTTTCGGAAGCGAACCCACGATCTCAGCGACCAGTGTCCGCACATCAAGAATCGTAAACCGACCCTGTTCTCAGATCGTAGTTTGCGAAATCAGATGGAATATTCTATGACGCCGGCCAAGCTAGTTTTGCCAAGGGCAGACGTGATCAACTCGAGTTATCAGCCCGGCAACGGACGGTCCAAGTGGACGGGCACACAATGGCGAGCGTCTCGCAGTCTCAAACGTCCATGTCAAAAATGAACAAGTAGAGACAACACGGTCGATCATTCGATTTCGTTTTCTGTGGCGCTGTTGTTTGATGCCGACTTCAACAAAACCGAGCGCCCAGCTGGAGGTACGTCACCGCCAACATTCGGGGGAAAGAATGGTGATGATTGCGGTACCCGACCACGACTTGAACGTCGGTTTGCGCACCTCGTGGCCTTCCCGCTTCTGTGAGTCTTGATCGAGGTCGTTCACAAGTGTACAGCTGTACTAGTACTCTAGTGTGTATACTAGTACAGTATAGGCTTCTACGTCGTAAGACGAAAAAGCCATCAAAGTCGCATCGCCGACAGGGTTTGGAGATGCCCACCGACGTGCAGAATTGAAAGGAAACGAGTGCCAAGGCGGTATCGAAAGGGTTTACGCTGCCCGCGACAATGTGTATCTATATCTGCATGTTGGCATCATGGACACGACACAATACCCGTTTCAAGAGTCAACTAGAACGCCAAGTATCGCACCAGCGCTATGGGTAGCTCAGAGTGTATTTTCCACAGCGCCATTGAATATCCGTCTTGAGTTAACGTTAGGGACGCAAAAGACGTCACAGTGGCTTGGCAATCTGCGTAGGATTGAATAATTTGATATCCGGTGAGCTGGTCCCGTATTGCGTGGCGCTGCAATGTGGCCGCGAAGATGGTATTCCATAGTATGTGTAGGAATAAGTGGTTACCACCGAATTACCATCCGCCACGTTACTGCAGTGCACGGACACGAGCGCTTGTTTGACGAAGTCATCGAGCTTCTAGTGTCAGAATGGTGCACAGGTTTATGCTATGTTACTATACTCTACATTCGACTATTTTTCTTCTCTCCGTGTTTGGCGCACAAATTTGTGTCATTGCCCACGACATCAACGCCCAGTTCCTAGTAGTATAAATAACCTGCATTCAACATTATTTACCCGCGTAGCACGAGCACCGACTCGCAGCAAAAGTAGGTGGTCGTGGCACAGAGGCCGTCGACGACCGGCCGACGCAAGCGTACAAAAATCACAAGCAACACGACGACACAGCCCGCGAGCCCAAGAGGGTGCTCAGCGCACGAAATCGGCGCGTCCAAGCCCCAGAAAAATGAAAACGTACACGTGACGTCGGGGAAAAACAGCAGCAGCGCGAGTTCCCACACTGCTTCGAGGCTATAGAGCGCGGATGCGACCCACTGCAGCACAAGCGCCACGAGCAGCTGGCGCACAACATAGACGTAGAGCACATACTGGGCGACGCGTGGCGGTGACCAGCCGTCGCGTAGCCGCAGCACAAAGCGCGGGCGCCGGCCCATCTCGAGGAGGTCCTGGAGCTCGTTGGCGTTGGCGTCAAAGGTCAATGGCACGGGCGCATGGGCCATCGTGTTGTGGACGGCCACGTCGTACCGGACGAGGAGTTGGAAGCCGCCGTAGAGGATCGCAGCCGGGTAGTAGCGGCGGCTTGGGCATCCGACAAGATGCAAGGCGAAGCGCAGCAGCGCGATCGGCACGAGGCCGAGCGCCAAAAGACCGAGGCCCAGAACGGCGACCATGAGGAGATACGTCATGAGCACGTAGTGGAGTGCGAAGAGGTAGCTCTGGTACGTGAGCACCTGGCAAGGCCACGCGAGGAGGTCCCAGTGCGACGCGGGTGGCCCTCGCTCTCGCCGGCGGTAGACCGCTGGCCGCAGGAGCACGGGCTGGTTACGCCAGCTCTGGCGCACGTCCATCGCGTCACGACGAGTGTTGGCGATCGTCAGGCAGAAAGGCGTTTGATTGGTGAATTTATTTTGGCTTGGCCAATAAAAGCGAATACAGGACAGGACTATTGGCCAATCGAGAGGGACACAGAGGTGGCGGGGGCATACACTGTGTCGTGGTGCCTTGCCAAAGATGGAGCAGCTTCCACCTCGTGTTGTTGTTGAAACGAGGTACCGGTATGAACATGCAATGATGTAGACTACCTAATGCGACGCTAATCTCGTGCTGTTGTACATCACAGCAACACAACCTTGGCTACTGTAGTTACTAGCGTAAAACAGGTTCATAGACCCTTTCAGAATACACAGTACGCCCATGCAAGCACACATTTTGACTTGAGCCAAAGACGGACAACTACGCGGCTCTACTTTGGCGAAGACATTTCTCTCCCCGCCATTGTTGAAATGAGTTATTTACATGGAATTATAAAGTGAAGATGGTGGACTTTCTAAGGCGCTCATGAGGTTTGGCCAGTGCGTCTACCGGTAGCCGATGGCGCTTGGTCGGGGTTCGGGATTGTGTGAGGAAAGAGGTAGCGAGCACACCAAGGGTCGGCGCGTAAAGCGTAAAGCGACTCGGCAAACGATGGTAGCACGGCGCGGCGAGCCAAGTGCCGGACATGCAATCGCGTGCTTGTAGCTGCTTTGATCGCGAGCGCAACACCGGGAAGGGCGTCAACGTCGAGCAGAACTCTCGGTTTTTGCGTTCAAGCCAAACACACTATCAGACGCAAGCGACTCTCCGCCACTGTGTTACACTCCTGCACGACCAGGCCCACCTTCACCTTGAATATACCGAGTTGACGCGGCTTGCAGAGAGGATACGTGCTCGCCGATACTTTGACCTCGTTGCCGACGAGAAAAACGCACATGTTTAACGCACATGTTTAACGCGTTAGGTAAAACGCGCTCCCGGGCATTTCACCTCGGTTTACCAACGCAACCTACCGGTACGAGTACTGTGGCACGAACCTCATTCGCTCCAAACAAGCGCTTTGAGCGCATTTGAGTCGGAGGACGATGCGCACTCGGCCAGCTACTCTGGCTGCAAGGCCATGCTTGGCGGATTAAACCCCCAAAACAACAAAAAACGCAACTTGTAGATATCTGGGCGCGTGCCTCGTCAAGCATATCGTTCAAGTCTCGTTGCCATACGCTGTAGCCTGGCAGCGAGGCCACCGAGGCGGTGGACCATCAAACGCGCCATCTGCCACACGCGGTATGAACTGCAATGTCGACGTTGCCGTGTCGTCTTGTCAAGTCCGTGCTTGTACAGTGTAGTGGGCAGGCTGGCGTTCGAAATACCGCTCCTGCGACGGCGCTTGCGACGCACCAAGGCGTGCTTCCAGAGAACGTTCGGCGGAGCTTGCACGAACGGTGCCACGGTGCACGACCTCGTCGACCACCGGTTCAGTTTAGCGTCCCAACCATAGGCTGAGCTCACAGGCTGGGGCACGACAAGCCACATCACTGCGTGTTCCAGTTGGGTGTTTATTTCTTCAGGAAGGGGATCCAAGCCGCGTACGGATTGGTGCAACCTGATAGCGACGTCCCACAACAGCTCTTGGGCGGGCATATCCACGTCGTTGGCGCGCTGCGTCGAAGCGTGTGCTGTGGTTGCAAAGCAGTGGTCATGCCGTCGCCAGACAAGACCAAGGGGCAGTCAGCTGGCCAGGACAGTAGGATCACCGTTGCGTTTAGCGCCCTTTGGCGTCGAAAAACGTGTTTGCCATGAGCACCCCGACCCCTACGTGGCACGCTGGGTGCATGTTTCTGCGTGGGTGGGAGAAATCCAGCAAGTGTGCGGATGACACGACGGAGTCACGCAGTCACTCCACCTCGGTGCTTGTCGCTGCGCGGTCATTTCCGTATGAGCCGCCAAGTTGAGCCGTGCTGCTACCTCAAGCTCCAAGCCGGTGGGTCCAACTACCGCGAGTGGGCCGACGCCATCACAACGCGTATGACGAAAGCGGGTCTTGCCAAGTATCTGGGCCCGCACCCGCCCAACTACAAGGCCGACGACGACTTGGCCGCCGGTGTCTACCTCCGGCTAAGCCTCCACCGCCACGACCTCATGCACCTCAAGGACGCCAAGACGACACATGCGACGTGGGAGATCCTCCGGCGACTCTACGAACCCAAGACCGGGTCGTCGCTGCTGCTGTTGTACACGCAGATGGACAACCTCCGCTGGATCGAGTCGCGCGGGTCGCTCACCGACTTTGCCGACGCGTTCCTGGGCCTTCAGCGGCACATGGCGGCCGCCGGCGACACGACGCCCGCAAGCGCCTTCTTGATTCGGTTTCTGACGCTGTTGCCAGCGCGTTTTAACGCAACCATTTTGCGTATTCTCCACGACAGCACGAAAGGCCCCGTGTTTCCGAGCTTTGAGACGGTGCTCGCCGAGCTCCAAGCCGTTGACGCCCTGCACACCGCCAAGACGACGACGACGAAGAAGACAACAGCCACGTCGCCACGACACACAACGGCGTCCAGCCCCACGCGCCCAGCGCGTACATCCGCCTGCAGCTATTGCGGCAACGACCAACACGCTCTGAGCGACTGCTACCGACGACAGCGCGACCTCGACCGCGGCCTGCGACGAAGGACGACCCTGCCCGACGACGTGACACCGACGTCGCCGACGGTGCGCGCCCGCGCGACGCACCCGCGTGGCCGGTCGCTGCCCTGCGACGTCCTGCGGCCCATGGTCTTTGGCACTGGTCGCGTCAGTCCACAATGCTCCAAATAATATATTATCTTGATTTTAGTACACCGCGCGGCAACCTTATTCGCTTGCTTATTCTCCACGTGGCAGCGCCACGACCGGGCCAGAGACCAACACTCTGTGAGGACGTAGACAGGCGCTTGCGTTTTGACCAATGGACGCGCAGTATTCTGTGGATTATAGCCAATCCCCATCGACGATGATGCGAGTTGGACTAAGGGCAAACTGGCATCGAGTAGAACGACGGGATCTTTGGACCACAGAAAATACTCGCATTGCAGAGCCACACCTGGGCATGATACGTGCTGCGACGCGCGACGACTGCCTACACGGACGCCGCTTGCATCGCTGGCGCTTTTTCATCAGTCGTGCCTTGGCTGCTCCTCGGCCCGTGCAGTGCATGATGCCATGCACGATAGCTTGATCCATTCCATCGCATATCAACAAAGCAACAATGACCTGCTGGGCCACCGCGCGGAATGAATGGGTATTCGCTCAACCAATAAACTGCGCATCCAGGGTTCTGTGATAGTTATTTGTGATCGTCTTTACGACCTACTAGCACCTAGTAAGCGGCTGGCAAGGTTTCAGGGTCCAAGTCAGGATACGACTGGCGCACGGTATCGACGAAGAGGTCGTGGAGAATGATGTTGCCGCGGCTGTTGAGGTGCAGTCCGTCGTAGAAAAGCGAGAGGTCGTTGAACGTCGGCGTAAAGAGATCGATGACTGGCAGTTGCAAGTGACGCGCCACGTTGATCGTTGCATTTGTGTATTTGGACACTTCGGCATTCGATCGACCGGTGCGCCATGACGAGGTTTCGTCAACGGCGCTCGCAGCGATGAGGAGGATCTTGCACTTGGGAAACGCCTCGTTGATGGACGCGATCATGGTGTACAGGTTGGCAGTAAACTCGTCAAGCGGCACGTGCAGCCCCCGATCCACGCCATTGATGAGCGAGGCGTCGTTGACACCGAGGAAGATCGAGAGAAGCGTCGGCGGCTTCAGTTTCCAGTCTCGAAGTAGCGACGGGAGTTTGACCAGCCACCACCTAGCGCGTGTGAGTCGCAGCTCATAGACCACCGCATACTACTTTGTCGTAGTACCCGCCGCGCCGCGGTTGACAACGTCGGCCTTGCGGACATATGTGTTGGTGAGCATGACCTGGTACCCCATCAAGCGTGGGTGGGCACCAATCTGTGTGATCGAATCGCCCAACGTTATGAAGAGTGGTGTCGTGTCGTTGAGTGGCTCGTTGAGTGGCTCGTTCAGTGTCTTGTTGAGTGGCTCACTCAGTGGCTCGCAATCTAGTCATGTCAACATTCAGACCCAAGAATCGTCGAGTTGAATGTGGACAGATTACCGCCTAGCACGGCATACATGGCAGCGAGAGACACCAGAAGCAGCAGTCCGAATAAGCACGCGACGCGCACAATGGGTTGGGACGTATATTGAGCACCGGCTTTGACATGGTCGTCCGCGGCGTCTCCCGTGTCTTGGAGCAGTTCTCGCTCCGAGAGGTCTTTCATCGGCTCCTTCAAGTCAACGTGATGCGCCTCTCCACGAGTACCAATGTGTACAAGCCGGGGACTTGTCGTTTGATCAAGATGGCGAGCAAAATATCGAAGCAAGCCAAAGAGATACTGTGTATAAATTTAGCAAGCGGAAGAAAACATGTCGACCTGCAGTGACGTTGGGGCAGTTGGCCCCGACGTTGTTGTTCTCTCGGTCTCCGTCCAGCAGAGGTCCGCAGTCAGGCGATAGGGTTGGGCTCCCTGCAACGAGAAAAAGATAGGTCCAGCTCACCCTTCGCTGAACGACGGCCGTTTTCACCTTGGGTGCGCGGATCTGCCAGCATACTTGGCTTGGCCAGTTTCTTGCTGGGATTCAAGTACACCGGTAGTTTGTTGCTGACATGTGAAGTAGACTGCCAAAAGGATCAATACATTACTAGTATGTATTATCGTGGCTAGGGACACGCACGACGGTCTTACCATTGCCACTCGGCGGCTCCCGCCCTCCGGACTGCACGACATTCGGAATTGGGCCGTTTCCAAGAAGTGCAAGTGGTTTTCCGCGCAAGTCTGAGCGATCTAGAAGACCAAGATCCAAGATCCAGGCGCAGAGCAAGCGAGCTCAAGCCATTTCCAAATTTGTAGTTTCAGTCAAATAGCTACCCCGCCTCGCCCACCACTGGCACGGAAGACACCAGCACGGTTGTTGCCCCCAAGAAGTTCGGTCTTGATTGAGTGAGGGAGCTTTTTGCGCATATCGTGAAATGCGCCCGTTTGATTGGCCAGGTGGTTCTTAGCGCCGCTGATTGACGGACAACATGGATAGGCTCTAGATAGATAGATAGATAGATAGATAGATAGATAGATAGATAGATAGATAGATAGATAGATAGATAAATGTTCCCATACGATTGCGTTTACGTAGTATACAAAAGTGATGCGAGCGCCAGCGAGCACCACGATTCACTTCATCCACATCATCCGTCGTCGTTCGATGTATGAGCCCTCGGGGTCTCGATGAGTCTACGAGCGCTTCTAGAGCGACGGGATAGC